GCGTGGTGTGTGTGTGAGAGAGTGAGAGTCAGAGTGTGTGTGTGTATGTGTGTTTGTGGTGGGGTGAACGGGTGTGTTTGAGTGTTTGTGGTGGGGAGACTGTGTGTGTGAGTGTGCGTGTGTGTTGTGTGTGCGTGGTGTTGTGTGTGCGACTGTGTGTGCATGATGTGTTGTGTGTGTGGTGTGGTGTTGTGTGTGCGAGTGTGTGCGTGGTGTTGTGTGTGCGACTGTGTGTGCATGATGTGTTGTGTGTGTGGTGTGGTGTTGTGTTGTGTGTGCGACTGTGTGTGCATGATGTGTTGTAGGTGTGGTGTGGTGTTGTGTGTGCGAGTGTGTGTACGGGGTGCGTGATGTGGTGGTGTGAGTGTGTGGTGTTGTGTGTGCGTGGTGTTGTGTTAGTGGTGTGTGTGCGTCGTGTTGTGTGCATGGTGTGGTGTGTGTGTGGTGTGTGTGTGCATGCGAGGTGTTGTGTGTGTGCGAGGTGTTGTGTGTGTGGTATGTGTGCGTGGAGTTGTGTGTGTGGTATTGTGTGTGTGTGGTGTGTGCGTGGTATTGTGTGTTGTTATGTGTGTGTGTGCGTAGTGTGTGTGTGTGTGTGCGTGGTGTCTTGAGTGTGTGTGCGTGGTGTAGTGCATGCGTGGTGTTGTGTGTGTGAGCGTGCGTGTGTGCGTGGTGTTGTGTGTGTGCGTGGTGTGGTGTGTGTGTGCGGTGTTGTGAGTGTGTCGTGTGTGTGCGTGATGAGGTGTTGTGTGTGTGGTGTGTGTGCGTGGTGTGGTGTCTGTGCGTGGTGTGGTGTGTGTGAGTGTGTGGTGTGGACTGTGCGTGGTGTTATGTGTGTGTGTGGTGTGTGTGTGCGAGAGAGAGTGTGTGTATATGTGTTTGTGGTGGGGTGAACGGGTGTGTTTGAGTGTGTGGTGGGGAGACTGTGTGTATAAGTGTGTGTGTGTATGAGTGTGTGTGTGTGAGTGTGTGTGTGTGAGTGTGTGTGTGTGTGTGTGTGTGTGTGTGTGTGTGTGTGTGTGTGTGTGTGTGTGTGTGTGTGTGTGTGTGTGTGTGTGTGTGTGTGTGTGTGTGTGTGTGTGTGTGTGTGTGTGTGTGTGTGTGTGTGTGTGTGTGTGTGTGTGTGTGTGTGTGTGTGGTGGGCGGTGTGTGCAGACCTTCATTATGAAATATACCTCACGTTTCCTTCGAAGCTTTATATGAGATCCGGTAAGAGCTAATTCCTTTGCGAAATGGGATCATACAAAACTTTATGGGTTGGTGAGTGAGTGGGTCTGTGGGTTAGTGAGTGAAAGGGTTGCCATGATTTTCGCAGAAGGTTGGAGTTTCAAATACCAATGAATAATGGACGTATGATACACTTACATATAGATATGTTGATAACCCACGTCGTTCTGGCCATATCATTAACTTTCTCAATTGTTCGACGCATCCCAGAGAGTGTTGTAGCTGATGGCCACCACGCAAAACACATGCTGCACGTGCAACTTGTGCACAAGCCAGACAGAACAATGTTCATATCTGTCAATCTTCTGTGATGTTGAACATGTGTCAGCTGAATCGACACTTCTGGCTTGACCTCAAACAATAGGAATATATAAGTATACCGGTCAGTGACTGCACAGCCCAAGCGCTTGTCTGTCTCCCACACCCTTGAGAAAAAAATAAAAGAGGAGTCCAACTCAAGTCTAGAATGATTTGGCAAGTCTAGATTGCCATACAGCTGTTGCTCCTGAATTAAGGATTGTTTTTGGCTCCATTTGGATTTGTATAATTTTGTAGATATTTTTTTTTTTTTAAAAGATAAAAAAAATCGGGGACTAAATATCTGTCTAGCACTGCGCGAAAGAAGCATGTTTGCTGTCCGCATCTGGTCCCAGATGTACAGTGAGCGTGCGCTTTGGTGGGTAAATCGGGACGGTTCACTTTAGATATATCTGAAAATTCCCCGTAAACTCAACATTGGTCCACTGACCCACCCCTCTCCTATACTGAGTTGGTTGGCTGGTTGGTTGGTTGTTTAACGCCGCGCTCAGCAATATTCCAGCTATATGACAGCGGTCTTTAAATAATCGAGTCTGGACCAGACAATCCAGTGATTAATATCATGAGACCCGTGAAGATCCGGGGTAAAATAGGTCTTCAGCAACCCATGCTTGCCGTAAAAGGCGACTATACTTGACGTAAGAGGCGACTGACGGGATCGGGTGGTCAGACTCGCTCACTTGGTTGATGGATGTCATCGATCCCAATTGCGTGGATCGATGCTCATGCTATCAACCACTTGATTGTCTGGTCCAGACTCGATCATTTACAGACTGCCGTTATATAGCTGGAATATTGCTGAGTGCGGCGTAAAACAAAACACAAACCAAACCAAATCTCCTATATTGATGACGACAATGAATAACGGATGACAGTCTCACTTAGGCCATTATGACCAGGTGATCTAATAACCCTTTAGAGTAGAGTTTTTTTCAGAATATTTCAAAATGTAAGGTATGGCATTAGGTATTGTCTCACTCCCCGTCCCACAATTTTATCAACCCCTCCTCATCTTCTTTCAACTCACATCACCAACGCTTTCTCGTCATCTGAATTACGTGCGCACTGTCACATATCCAAGGGGTATATATAACCATAGCAACTTTACATGTAGCTCACCTGATCAGGAACGGGCGCTCGAAACTGAAACATTATGTAGTTGACTTGTGTGAATGTATACATTTCAATATTTTAATTTTTCTTCAAGTAGCGAGAATAGGTTTTATTAGCTTACAGGAATCCTAAAAGTTTTATTGTTGAAACTCTGCACGAATTTCTGTCAATATAACGATGGTTTTGTTATATGTCACAATATATACATTACATCAAACAACTGGTGCTGCCATAATCTAAAATCAACCCAAAGGCTTTCTTGGCCTCTTGAAGTGATGGCTATTTTCGATCACCAGGTGAGCTAAAGAGCCGTGGCACTCTTTTAAGTATTTATGTACAGGTAACAGTTAGGAGGCATTGTTGAACCGCGGCCAAACTAGATAATAACATTACATACAACTCAAGGCCGTCTCTTTGGGCGAGATATTCCTCCTGCAGCGCACAAGTGGTAGACTAAATAACAAGTTATCTACACGTGAATAGATTTTACGTTTTTCTCTCCAACATGATGACAGGATGTGCTGATATATCGGGGATGTTGTCACTCATTATTACAAATTGAGTTAATGCGGGATTTATAGGAACTATAACGGGTAACAAACATGTACGTGTATAAACATAGAAAGGTACATGCCAACTGCCTGGGCTTGAGCTCAGGAGTATAGCTCAGACATCCAGACTCGCCATTTTCGAAAAACACAACGTACGGCCTATTTTAAGACAGATCTTGATATGTTTAAAAAAGTTATATACACACACTTTTATTTGATGGAAAAAGGAAATACACAAAGCTTGTTCCAACATGGATTCCTACCAGTGCTGAGATGACTTATGCGATTGAGACTAGCCTGTCTGCCAGACTCTTGAGAATAGATTCAAAAATTTATCCAGAATGATTTGACAAGTCTAGATTGCCTCAGCTCTTTGAGCATTGTTCTGGGCTCCATTTGGATTTTACTTTTGATTTTGTAGATATATATTTGAAAATGATAAAACTTTAAATATGGAACTATCTGTTTGAGTAGACTCATTCGTCACCACTCGCCTCTTTCCGTAACTATTCGGCTTGTCCCGGAATAACACGAGTTGGTCACGAATGAGAGTAGACTGAGACTTAGGGGTCCAGTAAAGGCAACAGTTACAAATGCTGCTGTAGTAATAACTACACGCCATTCAGTTTCCCAAAGGGAGATAATCGGAGAGCTCCCGAATGACCATGACACGTGAATGTCGATAACTGGCTGTTTGTCTTAAATGCGCATCATTTTTCACCACAGCAAAACTGATACAGTCATATGCAGGAACCCAGTCAAAATAACGCATCAGTTTAATACATCATCTGAATTATATTACTTCTGGATGTTTACCATAGTCTTTACAGTAAAAATGCTCGGTTTAGTCTGAGGTCAAACGCGTCACTGACATCTGTGCTGGATTTGTGCTGAAGAGAACCAGTCTTGCATGACAAGGGCGGTGCCTGTAGTCCGCAGACATTCCTCCTGTATCATGGCGGTAACGGTAGCGCCATCTGGCGATTCATATAATGATTCAACATTTGGCAATTCAGTGACTCCTAAACAATACGAACCCGAACGGAGAACAATGGCGGCTTTATTTATTAATTTTTATATCTCTTAGTTTTGGGTTTGTTTTCATTCCTCAACTTCAATGCTCTTAAAAGACGTTTGAGCCAAGTATGATTTGTTTCTTTGGCGTGATACAGGAATGATTTCGTCAACACAACACATAACTGAAAACAGGAGTCAGCTGCTTTCAAAGCCACTACTAGTATATGGGCGTGGTTGGGAGTAGGGGGTCGTGTGAGTATGGTGATGGGGTAGCCTCGTATTTACACGCGTTGCACATCACGATACAAAGTGAGTGAGTATTGTTTTATGACGCTTTAGCACTGCCACAGAAATTCCACAACAGGGACACCATTTGCTTCAAATAGTTTAACCCTGTGGGAAATCAAACCCAGGTCTTCGGCGTTACGGGCGAACGCTTTAACCACAAGGCTACCCCAACGCCCCTCATCACGCTGAATTCCTGGTTTCGAGGAAATAATGGTGTTCCATGGCGTAATATGACTGGGATATTGCTAAACGGGGCAGAGAACTCAAACCACTCACTCATTCATTGTCTTATTTACTCTAACGGGGTGGTGGGGTAGCCGAGTGGTTGAAAGTGTTCACTCGTCACACAGAAGACCCGGGTTCGATTCCCCACATAGGTACATTGTGTGAAGCTCATTTCTGGTGTCCCCCGCCGTGATATTGCTGGGATATTGCTAAAAGTGGCATAAAACCATACTCACGCACTCACTCACTCACTCATTATGAATGACGTCAAGTTATCTCATTGAGTACCCTCTCAAACTGAGTAGTTGCACGACCGAGCCTTTGATAGGGTAGGTCAGTGGTTACTGCGTTCGCTCATCACGCCAAAGACCCGGGTTCGATTTTCCGCATAGGTACAACAGGGACCATGTGTGAAATACATTTCTTGTGCTTCCTCCTCCGCGATCTAGTGGATTGAGCGTCTGTCCGTTGAGCGGAAGGTCGGTGGTTCGATCCCCGGCTGCGTCATAATGTCATAGATGGTACTTGTTGTTACCCTGTCGGCTAGGAGACTGTGTACTGTGTCTGAGTGGGGTGTTCATGTTAAACTGTGGCATGGTATCTCAGTGGGCTAGCGCAGAAACAAACACGCGCGCGCACACACACACACAACACCATGCACACACACACACACACACACACACACACACACACACGAACACACATGAACACACACGAACACACATGAACACACACATGCACACACACACATGCGCACACACACACAGACCACACACACACATATGCACACACACGCACGCACACATGAAGACACACACACACACACACACACACACACACACACACACACACACACACACACACACACACACACACACACACACACACACATGCACACAAACAGACCACACACACGCACACACACGCACACACATGCACACACACAGACCACACGTCGCTGCGTGAGTACCATAATCTTGAACCCGTCGTTCAACCCCGTTTCACCTCACCACACCTATTCCTTTAACCCAGGGAATCCAGTAGCCCAAGGATACGTGTATACACACAGCACCTGCAATAATCTAACACCGTGAAACAAAGGGTGTGAAGAAATCTTTGATTAGAGCTAACCATGTTTGTATTCACAACATCCTCACATCGCATTTACCGTTAGCCGACAAACCTTTTACATATATACATTTTCTCGGTGGCATATTTCTGCGGCTCCATCTCGAGGTGCTAATCTGTACAACCCTGGGGATGCTGTCCATCTGCTAGACAGGTATTAATATTGATGCTACGTGGGTCATGTTGACTCAGTGTATAACACATTGGTGCTTGATTCAGTGCCATATCTGAAAATACTGAACAGATTCTCTTGTGTCTGTTCGAAGCATTCGACGCTCTAGGACACTCAAGGATGCTCAAGGACACCAAAACGACTCAGGAGGCTCTAGGACACTCAAGGATGCTCTAGGACACCAGAACGACTCAGGAGGCTCTAGGACACTCAAGGATGCTCTAGGACACCAGAACGACTCAGGAGGCTCTAGGACACTCAAGGATGCTCTAGGACACCAGAACGACTCAGGAGGCTCTAGGGCACTCAAGGATGCTCTAGGACACCAGAACGACTCAGGAGGCTCTAGGACACTCAAGGATGCTCTAGGATACCAGAACGAAGTAGGAGGCTCTAGGACACTCAAGGATGCTCTAGGACACCAGAACGACTCAGGAGGCTCTAGGACACTCAAGGATGCTCTAGGACACCAGAACGACTCAGGAGGCTCTAGGACGCCAGAACGACTCAGGAGGCTCTAGGACACTCAAGGATGCTCTAGTACACCAGAACGACTCAGGAGGCTCTAGGACACTCAAGGATGCTCTAGGACACCAGAACGACTCAGGAGGCTCTAGGACACTCAAGGATGCTCTAGGACACCAGAACGACTCAGGAGGCTCTAGGACGCCAGAACGACTCAGGAGGCTCTAGGACACTAAAGGATGCTCAAGGACACCAGAACGACTCAGGAGGCTCTAGGACACTCAAGGATGCTCTAGGACACAAGAACGACCGTGGACGCCCTAGGACACTCAAGAATGCTCTAGGACACAAGAACGACTCAGGAGGCTCTAGGACACTCAAGGATGCCCCAGGACACAAGAACGACTCATGAGGCTCTAGGACACTCAAGGATGCCCCAGGACACCAGAACGACTCAGGAGGCTCTAAGACACAAAAGGATGCTCCAGAACACCAGAACGACCCAGGACGCCCGATGACACCCAAGGGTGCTCCAGGACACCAGAACGACTCAGGAGGCTCTAGGACACCCAAGGGTGCTCAAGGACACCAGAACGACCCAGGACGCCCGATGACACCCAAGGGTGCTCCAGGACACAAGAACGACTCATGAGGCTCTAGGACACCAAAGGGTGCTCCAGGACACCAGAACGACTCAGGAGGCTCTTGGGCGAAAATGCTCAAGGACACTAGTTTAGACAGTCGACCAGTGCAGATCCGGGCTAGACTAGGTCTTCAGCAACCCATGCTTGTCGTATACGTAAGTGGCGACTAACGGGGTCGGGTGGTCAGGTTCGCTGACTTGGCTGATGCATGTCATCGTATCCCACTGATTGCGTGGATCGATGTTCATGAATCACTGGATTGTCTGGCCCAGACACGATTATTTACAGACCGCCGTCATATAGCTAGAATATTGCTGAGTGCGGCGTTAAACAACAAACAAACAAACAAATTATATAAATTTAGTCACGTGACACCAGGACCGTCCAGCACACGAGTGTATCTCGTCACCTTACACAAGGATCGTCCAGTACGCTAATTTATCTCGCCACGAGACACAAGGAACGTCTAAGGCTCTAATTTATCTCGCCACGAGACACAAGGAACGTCTAAGGCTCTAGTTTATCTCGTCACGAGACACAAGGAACGTCTTAGGCTCTAGTTTATCTCGCCACGAGACACCAGGAACGTCTAAGGCTCTAGTTTATCTCGCCACGAGACACCAGGAACGTCTAAGGCTCTAGTTTATCTCGTCACAGAACACCAGGAACGTCTAAGGCTCTAGTTTATCTCGCCACGAGACACCAGGAACGTCTGAGGCTCTAGTTTATCTCGTCACCGAACCCCAGGGTGCTCCTGCGACACCCCGTGACACTCTAGGCGACCTGGCGACAGTCTAATCTCCACGTTTATCTCGTCACAGAACACCAGGGTGCTCTTACGACACCCCGGGACACTCTAGGCGACCTGGCGACAGTCTAATCACCACGTTTATCTCGTCACTGTATGTTTTATACGCCACAGTCATGATCAGTTATATCTCAGCTTAAATACTTCAATATAAATTTTCTTGAATTTTATGGTATTAAAAGATCAGTAAATACATACAGGACACAATTAGGCATTAATAAAGACCTGCATCTGGAAACAACAAACAATACAAATATATTTATTGCCAATCTTTTTTCATGTAAAAAAGGCTCAAAGAAATACTACTATGTAATAAGTCAAACCGATGAAAGCTTAAAAGTTATTGACAAGTGGGAAGAGGAACTTTTAATGGATATGAACTGGCCTAGCTTATTTATCAGAGCACACAAAACTACTCCAGACCCTAAACTTAGATGGTTTCAGCTTAGAATGCTCCACAGAATTCTACCTGTTAAAACTTATCTACTCAAGATGCATATTGTTGACAACTGTCTATGTACTTTCTGTAATGCCGAGCCAGAATCTATCCAACATCTGTTTTGGGACTGTAGGGTAAGCAAAAACTTCTGGAAAAGATTTTCACAATGGATTGAATCTAAGTGTCCACATACTGGCAAGATAAATCTTACTTCAGACCTAATTCTTTTTGGCTTTTCAAAACATTTCCATACCGATGATATTTTTGATCTGATACTCTTATTGGCGAAATTTCACATTTATAGATGCAAAATGAAAAATAACCAACCAACCATTACACATTTCCATGAGGTTATATCTCAGCTTTATCAAGGTCGTAATAAATAATCGAATATAGGCCAGGTAACTTCATCATCATCATCATCATCATCATCATCATCATCGTCGTCGCCGTCGCCGTCGTTATTATTATTATTATTATCGTTATTGTTGTTGTTGTTATTATTGTTATTATTATTATTATTATTATTATTATTATTATTATTATTATTATATGAGCTAAAATTTCATTTTTTAAAAACATAGAACTAAGGAGTGTATAAAATGAGTACAATATATCATATGATAATCACAACCACAGTACGGAGAGTATGCCTTTAATAGAATGCTACGCCAACAATGCTCTCGCCTTCTGTGATGGTCTGGATGTGTCTGTTAACATCACCAAAATAACCCAACTCATGCTGCTTACCTAGGGCTGCTGAAACAACTACTTACATCTTTCCAACTTCATCTTTACCCTCGCCGTACTCTTTTGTCATTAACGCAAGGTTAAACTAACAAACAATCTCTTTGTTGTAAACCACGCGTAATACCTTGTTTTATGAATAATAGTACATATTTGTCGTAGGAAAGTAGCTTTTAAATAGTGTAGGTTAACGTTGTAATATTCCACAATGGAAAACACACCAGTGTTTATTTTCATATGTTTCCCCCAACACATTTACCATGCCACTCTTAACACACCAGTTAACGATATACACATCCTCAAGTGGTTGGATCTGGAATGGCGGATGCCCTTCCTTACCTCTTTGTAAGAATAGCGCACACACGGCCAGGCCAAGAAACCGTAAACACAGCAGGTAATAAACCTTGGTGTTCTGAACGGTTCGCCAAAACGCAGCCGGCTACTCGTAAAAACTGTCTGCTAATGGGAAGAGTTCCTTGAGAAGATGCCAAATTCCTGGCGTTTAACCAGGCCTAGGTGGGCAGAGATCGCTTCATTTGCTTGGAATCTAGTTCTGTTAGGATAAACATTTTGAAGGTCGTGCAGTAAAGCATTGGTCACTGGGCTCCTGTCGCAGAGTCCAAGACATCAGAACGACTCAGGAGGCTCTAGGACACTCAAGGATGCTCTAGGACACCAGAACGACTCAGGAGGCTCTAGGACACTCAAGGATGCTCTAGGACACCAGAACGACTCAGGAGGCTCTAGGACACTCAAGGATGCTCTAGGACACCAGAACGACTCAGGAGGCTCTAGGACACTCAAAGATGCTCCAGGACACCAGAACGACTCAGGAGGCTCTAGGACACTCAAGGATGCTCTAGGACACCAGAACGACTCAGGAGGCTCTAGGACACTCAAGGATGCTCTAGGACACCAGAACGACTCAGGAGGCTCTAGGACACTCAAGGATGCTCCAGGACACCAGAACGACTCAGGAGGCTCTAGGACACTCAAGGATGCTCCAGGACACCAGAACGACCCAGGAGGCTCTAGGACACTCAAGGATGCTCTAGGACACCAGAACGACTCAGGAGGCTCTAGGACACTCAAGGATGCTCAAGGACACCAGAACGACTCAGGAGGCTCTAGGACACTCAAGGATGCTCATGGACACCAGAACGACTCAGTGAGTGAGTGAGTGTAGTTTTACGCCGCCTTTAGCAATATTCCAGCAATATCACGGCGGGGGACGCCAGAAATGGGCTTCACACATTGTAGCCATGTCGGGAATCGAATTCGGGTCTTCGGCGTGACGAGCGAACGCTTTAACCAGTAGGCTACCCGACCGCCTCTCAGATATTGTGAAATTCCGTTAACCCAAACAGTTCTGTTCCAAGGGTTGGTATGTTGTCTAATGTCTAACTCAGCAATTTTCCAGCTATATGACTGCAGTCTGTAAATAAGCGAGTCTGGACCGGGCAGTCCAGTGATTGACATCATGAGCACCGATCTGCTCGATTTGGATACGAGGACATGTATCAAACAAGTCCCCCAGTTAGAGCACCAGATCACGTTAGCTGCCTCATACAAGCGTAGATAGGTTGCTGAAGATCAGTTCTAACCCGGATCTTCACGGGGGCCATTTCAAGTGAAATTCTGAACTACGAATCTTGGTAATAAATAACTCTTTCGTTGTATATAATGCGAAACCTCTTTTGTCCGGACCCAGTTAATCCGGAAATCCAGCCTTCCGAACGAACACTGTTCTCATATTACTCTGGTAACATGATTCGTTAATCCGACATTCGTTAATCGGGATATTCGATAATCCGGACATTCTATAACCCTGGCGGTATCAGTGGTAACGCTAGTGTCCAGATTACCGGGTTTTCAATGTAGACATTCGATCACAAATCGTCGGCGTTGACAAATCAAGGATAATCACCAGGGCGATGTTTGGATTCGAACCTACGACAAGCGCATCCAGGCACGACCAAGGTACGCAACTCACATTTTGTAGATTTCTTTTCACATTCAAGTACAAGAACATTTTGTACCTCAAATATACCGACAGATAAAACTATGGCAACGCCTATAAAGGGTTGACAAGAATAATAATACTCGGAAGAGATCAACCTGGTAAAAGAAAGTATACACTTGAAAATTGGTTTGACCAAAGAATTACAAACGCTACACACATGATACCAATAGTGGCACCCATCACAAACACATGTAAAGGTAAGTCAATTATTCACCTTCAGGTAACACGGAAACGCAAAATTGCTTCATTCGATCCCTGCTATCCTTGACCTCAGACCAATACATGTTTGGTTTTATGAGCATTTGACTGAAGTGATGCGATATTTAGAGGCAAACTGACGTACCAAGGACGGCGCCCACTGGGACCGGTTTCGTTGTACACGCCTCTGGGCGGTTCGATTCCGACAAATATACAAGGTGCGACGAGGTGAGGTGAAATGGGGTTTAACGTCGCGTCCAAGATTATTGCACTTATATAGCGACGTGCATGTACGTGTGTGTGTTTGTGGCTGCTTGTACTAGTCCGGACTGATGCCGATTTATAGTGCTAGCCCACTGAGATACCATACCGCAGTTTAACATGAACACCACACTCAGACACAGTATACTGAATCCGAGCCAACCAGTCCTTGTTTTAGCCCCTTAATGCCGAGCCGCAGACAGGGTAACAACAAGTACCATCTTTTAACGTCTTTTGGTATAACGCGGCCGGGGATCGAACCCCGGACCTTCCGCTCTCCCAAGGTGCGACGAAATATATTTCATGACTCTCATGCAGTCTTTGGTCTTTGCTACATTCTCACCTATAGAAACATAAACAGCGCTTTTGCTACGTTAAATGTAGACTCGTTAGAAAGTTACGGTATGTTTAAGAGATTGTTCTTCACTCTTACAATTCACAAATGGAAACGGATCGTCTAAACGGAACCGCGTGGTACAATTTATACAGTCATACATTAATGGAGTTCACATGTCAAATTTGATTAATAAACTCCCCGGTAAAGAAAGTATGGAGCATGTTTGATTTAGGCTAAAAATTAGAAACAAGAAATGTCTGTTCGACGGTGATGCATTTGATACGGGTATCATAGTTGTGTTTTGGACCTTAGGTTTGCAGTGTTTCGGCGACTGTTTTCAAACCTAGTAACGTTTTGATACCGTTTGTAAGTGTATACTTTCTTTTGCCCGAGAGTTCACATCATACAACATTGCGTACCCAAACTCGAACACAGATGTTTGCATGAACATTCATGAAACAGTCGTTTATACGTAGATTATTTTAAGAAAACTCACCAGATAATCAGTCCAAAATATCCACTGACATAATTCGATCCTAAATGGAAAATTCTGTCCGGGCGTGTTTATGCATTCCAATATACAACAGCTTGCATCAATATTTACATATACAACACGCTTGTCGTGCAAGTAGAAAGGCACAATTATGATATTATAATTTCCTAATCATATTCCACTAGAGCCTATATCACCGGACAGGTACGATCCGACAGCTCGTCATGTCAATGTCATCACGTCACGTGCTTGTAATTATACGCCTGTCAATCAGACAAGGGGTGTCTAGATAATTAATTTGATAAGACTTTGGTCAGAACAACATGGCACGGACTGACGGCCATGGCATCGCATGTAACTATGTGGTACAGTGTGTCCCGTTATTCATCTGCCATCACTGCCGGCAGGTGATATCACTGTGGTTGGTATGGTCTGTTGTTGAATTTAAAGGAATGTGGCCTTGAATTTTAACTTCAGCTTCAAGATATATAAATCGATGATCTGATATCGATATAATAACGGTCAACAATGAACTTTTCAAAGAGCGTCATACGATCCTTGCTCAAAAGTTGTTTGATCAGGTCTCAACATTCAAGGCCGTAGTAAAGCGTACCACCGACACCACCACAACCACCATCACCACAACCACCACTACTATTACTGCTACTGAGACTACTACTACTACTACTACTACTACTACTACTGCTGCTACTACTGCTGCTGCTACTACTACTACTACTGCTGCTACTACTACTACTACTACTACTACTACTGCTACTACTTTTACTACTACTGCTACTACTACTACTACTACTACTACTACTACTGCTACTACTTTTACTACTACTGCTACTACTACTACTACTACTACTACTGCTACTGCTACTACTACTTCTACTACTACTGCTGCTGCTACTACTACTACTGCTACTACTACTGCTACTTCTACTACTACTGCTGCTGCTACTACTACTACTGCTACTACTACTGCTACTACTACTACTACTGCTTCTACTACTGCTACTACTACTATTACTGCTGCTACTACTATTATTACTACTTCATCAATTGCTACTACAGTTGCTACTACTACTGCTGCTACTACTACCACTTCTACTTCTACTACTACTACTACTACTGCTACTATATCTACTGCTACTACTACTACTACTACTACCACTACTACTACTTCTACTACTACTACTACTGCTACTAATACTGCTACTACTACTATTACTACTTCTACTGTTGCTGCTACTGCTACTACTGCTACTACACTTGCTACTACCCCTACTACTGCTACTACACTTGCTGCTTCTACTACTTCTACTGCTACTACAGTTGCTACTACTGCTACTACTACTACAGTTGCTGCTTCTACTACTACTACTACTGCTACTTCTACTACTACTACTACTACTGCTACTACAGTTGCTGCATCTACTACTACTGTTACTGCTGCTACTAAGTCTTTTACTGCTGCTTCTGCAACTACTGGTACCACTAGTAGTGCGACTATTGCAACTCAAATACTATTACCAATACGACTATTACAACTCAAATACTATTACCAATACGACAATTACAACTAAAGTACTACTAAACAACTATTCCAACTCAAGTAAATGTACTCTCTCATGTAATACAATTGTAATATATACTAGTACATATGAACATTAATTAAGCACCATTCCTGGTGGTGCCTGGGTCAGTTCATCACCAACCCATGCTTGCCGTAAAAGGCGACTATGCTTGTCGTAAGAGGCGACTAACGGGATGGGGTGGTCAGGGTCGCTGACTTGGTTGATGAATGTCATCATGTCAAAAATGTGTAAATCGATGCTCATGAATCGCGGGATTGGCTAGTCCAGACACGATTATTTATAGACTGTCGTCATATAGCTGGGATATTGCTGAGTGCAGATTTAAACAACAAACAAACAGTTTATTTAGGAGGGTCTCTAGCTCTCATTTGGCGGCAATGGGAACCCCAAAGGTGTTCAATTTGGTTTGTCATTATTTTCAAAAGTGGGGGCACGGGTGGCCCAGTCGTCTAAGGCGCCGCGATTCGCTGTGCAGAGTTGCGTCCCTTGGGCACGCCAGAAACCTATGATTGTGGGTTCGAATCCCGGTTCGCCCCGATTATGTTTCTAAGTTTGTCAGCACCATACCCGTGCTCGTGGGTTTCACCGAAGTGGTAAACGTCTGAGACCTGCATCACTTCAGGCTTTCCTCCCACATTAAGCTGACACGCCGTGATATAACTGGAATACTGTTAAAAGCGGCGTTAAACCCAACTCACTCACTCACTCACTATTTTCAAAATTAGATTTGGAGATGGTGATTAATTTATGCTCATGTGTACATAACATGAAATGTGATTTTATGTAAAATAATTTAACGTGAGCTAAATGTATTTTATTATTTTTAAAGTCGGAATAAGTTTTGTCAAACCTTATAAATAGCAATTACTTACATGAATTATTTGAAAATAAATACCTATGTTTAAACCGGTATATATTGTTGTTTTATCGACTTTCTGGTGCTTCAGAAATCCCTGCTTGTTCAACAGCATGGCGAAACGGCAGATCCAGATTGTGTGCATACGTTTTTGTCTTAATTACACCAAAGGTTTCAAAAATCTTAAACTTATATTGTCTTTCATTCAGAAAACGGAAACCGTTGTTTTGCTTAGCGTTTAGGTGTTTAAGCTTCGTGATAAATCAGATTACAGAACCGACAGAAACTCCCGTGTGCTGTGCAAACCCCTCTAATCTGATTAGGGTAATAGAAATCACTTCAGTCAACCATCTGACACGCAAATGTCCACACGGAGTACTTGCCTATACACACAGA